AGAGCCCTTTTCCTCCTGACTTTATTCTTAATTTCCTTAGTAAACCATTATTAATGTAATTTTTCTGTTGGGGTGCACCTGCCTAATTTATGCACCTGCCTAATTTTGTTTAAATAATTATTGCACACTTTCTGTAAATCCTATGAACTTCATTTCACTTCTCAAATATCACTGTGTTCGTCTGCTATATGATATATTTAACTGAAATTGCTGATCCAAACAACCAGTGATTCATAAAGGAAAAGCATGAAAATTATCACGGGTGCCCAAACTTTTTCATACCACTGTATAAGGTATGTTCAGGTGTGTGTGAATGAGTGTCTGTGTTTGTGTGTGTGTGTGTGAGAGAGAGAGAGAGAGAGAGAGAGAGAGAGAATTCTACAGTAATTCTACGCTATCCCATTCAGTTTTCTGCTGACTAAAGCCCTATAATTGGTCTGTGGTGCAACAGTCACAAATGGAGATGAACTAGATTGTTTCAATGTGTCACTGACTTTCCTTCATATTTTTTATCTTGCTACAGTCCTTCCATGTTCAAATACTCCAATGTTTGACATGACACAATACACTGCTCACGTCAACACATAAATGGACACCATTATAGCTGAGTTTCTGTGCTAAAAGGCATCAGTGGGAAACTGATATAGACACAGGATTTCATACAGTGCATAAAACTGTCCTTCCTGTACAATAGTAGTCTGTGCTTTGCATTGTAATGAGAGCTTGTTTGTGCTTATTGATGACAGCTGTGTTTGTGTGCCTACTCTATCAATATAGTAAACAAAGTATCAATATAGTAAATAAATAATTCCATTGTGTAGACACTACACATTAGTCAGTTAATTGCTTGAATCTTGAGTCTAGATTTTCAAGTGCATACTCAGTGATTAACTACAGAGAAGTTATAAATAAAGGTGCATAGCATTGGTCAGATAGACAGGCCTACAGGCTGCAGATGAGGGAGCAGACCAAAGTGGGTTCTCTGCCACGTAGTAACCAAGACTTTCATTTCTCAGCTTCACTCAGCTTTTCTTCACGTTGATCTTTATGCTCTGCAGCTTTTTCCTAAAGCTTTACATTTAAAAATAACACAGCCATCCATCTTTTGCAACTTCTTGTCCTATTCAGGGTCATGGGGGGCCTGGAACTTATGGGTACAAGGCAGGGTTGGGGTGCCAACCCATCACAGGGCACACTCACACATGTTATAATTGACCAGAAGAAACCCCATGATGACACAGGAAGAACATGCAAACTCCATGAACATGGAATCCTGGTGGAGACTTGAACCCAGGTCCCAGAGGTGTGAGGCAACAGTACTAACCACTGCACCACCATGCCGCCCTGCACCCCATTAAAAATAAAAAAACATAAAATTTTTATTAAGTATATGAAATATTGTTGGCTTAAAGAACAAAATTATTTTAGACATTAGAATTTCAATATCTGCACTATAGTAATGTCCACCTAGTTAAGCAAAATTTTTCAAGATAAAGAAAAGCCTGACCCCTGGTCTCAAAAATATGATGATAAAATGCTTGTAAAATCACCATTTTTTAGATGGTTTGACACCACCACCAAGGTCAGCAACTCTATTGAGGATTACTGTTGAAGCTGCCTCCTCAAACCATTGCTGCCATTGTGTGTGGCAGGCATTGACATGGAGTACTTAGTGTCTGAATTCAGATTTCACTTAAAGCTCAGTGGGATTTTCAGCATATAATATACAGGACAGTTGTGTTAATCCTCCAGCAATTTTGTGATGTTTTGTTATTCATCATGCAAGATCGTAAAGCCCAGATCTGCTCCCATTCCAGTTTATCACAAGCACCATTAACAAGATTTTGTTTCAACTAACCAGTTGAGTATAAAGAGTCACAGTCACAGAGTATTCAACTGGTTGGTTGAAACAAAATCTTGGTCTGGATCTGTACTATCTGGACCTAAAATCTTCACCTCTGCTGATTACAAATGTTAATGTTCATATCCCTTAACTATTAAAAGCTCCGCCTATCAGCAGTTGTGCATGAATTGCCTCCTTGACAACTGTGTGTTTTTATCTGCCTCGAATCATGATTGGACAAAAGCATCTACGAAATAAATGGGCATGTCATTGCTTTTGTAATTGCTTTTTATATACACAGTACCAGTACATTGATGCATGTGACAAATAAAACTCTTGAATCTTGAAACTAGTAACTGATGAATAGTAGTAGTCTAATCGCTACACTTTTTTCATCATTATGTTGGCTTTTCATCATTTGAAATTTGTACTTCATTGAGTGAATGATCACTTCTGTTCATCATTCATATTGCTTTTGTTTACTGACACACTATATTTGATACTTGTGTAATGCTCTTATGTTTTCTTTATGTTCTTTCTCAGTGATGGATGTATGGCAATAAACAATATGTTCATTCATGGTAAATGAAAATTTTCATCGCAATAAACTATCTCTTGCTATCGATGGACTGGTTGATAAAATATTCTACGGTTCACAGGGGTTATTTGGAAATATCAGAGTACTTTTTCATTCTACAAAATGTACAAACATACCTGACATGAAAGGGGTCAGATAATGTATAGGGGAGTTATTGGACTGGGGTATTTGATGGGAAATAATATAAGTATATTCTTTGGAGTTACCATATGTATCTCAAAGTCCTCATGTCTTGCAGCATCAAGCCTTTAAGATGATACTGTAGCTCACTGTCACCATTCATGCTGCCTCCAAACTGGGATACTGTGGCTGTGAGTTCAGCACCACAGAGGTTTGGCAAAACCTCCCATCACCGCCTTCATTCTTCCCTCTCTTCCGTGACTAGCATCTACTCTGAATACACAGTGGCACCTGCAGCATTCCAGTTCTGTGAGCAGAGACAGAAAAGTAAGTGCAATGCCTACAACTTTAAAATATCAGAATTTCGGTTAGTGTGACACTGCAAAAAGGTGATGGAATGTCACGTGAGTGTACAGTGTAGTTTGTGTTTAGGTTTCTGCAGCCCTTATGGCTTCCTACTCCTTTAATATAACTTTTTTTTTCTCCTTAGTTTGGAGTTTTTGGTTCTTCTCCTCTGTTGTCTTTTGGCTTGCTTTATTTAATTTCTTTCCTTCCTTTTTCACATTCTGAATTTCTCTCTAATGATGTTTAATGTATCACAATACAACCCTGTAAAGCACTTTGGGATGACTGTCATAAAAGGTGCTATATAAAAATAAATTGAATTGAAGAAGTCAAGAAAGAACACTGCTCTCACCTGTAGCTGTATTTCACTGATGAGACACCTTAACACTCTTATCCTTCAGCAGTTTACTTTGTTTGCATTTTAATTATTTTTCCTAATTTATTGCAATTTGGTATATGGATTTGTCTATGCTTATAAGTGGGTTTCTTAATTGGCTGATGCCTATTGACTCATGTAGGTTTCCTGATGTTCATCTGTTTAGTTCTATAGGGATAATGATCAGGGGCAATGACACTTTGAAATTCTAAACAGTTAGATTAGTCCTAGTTTGATATAACCCATCATAATATGGGGCTGGATTTGTTATAAATACTTAAAATTGTTATAAATACTGTTATAAATACACCAGCATAGCATTTGTTTTCAAGGCGCACAAGAACAATGACCCCCATGACTAAATGTATGAATAAACCCAAAGTGGAGGATCATGTTCATTCTATATTGACTAAGGTGCATCAAACAAATAAGATATACTATGACAGGTCTGCTCGACTATTGCCCCCACTCTGCAGAGGACAGACAGTGAGGATGCAGTAATCATTCGGCTATGACAGACTAGCTACAGCTCTTGGCCAGGCTTCTCAGCCAAACAGTTACAGATTCCAGTCTGCAGCTTCAGTGAATGTGAGGAACAAGTGTCACCTGCTGCAGACACTTGAGAATTACATTGAATCTCTGTCAGAAGTATGCCAACAGACAGCAGAAGTCCTCAGTCTGGAGCAACCCCATGCTGGTGTTGTCATTTCTGATGTCTCACAGCTTGACTCCTCAGAATCCCAAATGGTTACTTCACCAGAATCGACCCAGGAATTTGTGCCCTATGCATCTTGTGCAGGACGGATTCAAAAACCCAATCCCAAATATGCTAACTATGTATCCTAGTGCCAGGTTTCTCAACCACTGGGATGCGGCCCATCAATGTCATCGTGTAGGCTGTGAATCTAAAATTGGGAGAGGCCATTGGCTCCCCGCACCATGCTTAAGCATGAGTAACTATTTTGAGTAAAAAATAGTAGGGAAGAATGATTTTTCGATTTGAAATGGAAATTGCAGTTTGAAATAATGTGATTAGAAAAAGGCTGCAATTTAACATTTGCATTATACAGCATGTCTGACCCGGGGTTTAAAATTGTGTTGAGAATAGTTTTAGAAATTCATCCCATCCTCCTTGTGTGACAGTCATTCTCACCAATCAAAAGTGGCCCAAGGCGACTATGTACATGCCCACAAACAACAAACACGTAAAACCCAAGGAAAACGTTACACTGGCAGCATGAAAAAACATCAGTATCATTGGTGAGCTCTAAGTGAATTACCTGCCTCATGGTCAGAGAGGTTTTACAGAAAGATCCTATTATTAGGGGTCCAAGCAGCATTAGCTGCAGGATCCCCATAATTTTTTCTTCTTACCGATATTGTTTTATTTTTATTATTATTACTTTATTTAACTTTATTTATTTAACACAGTCACAGCTTTTTAAATAATTGTTTAATGTGTCATTGGTCTCTGCTAATTTAACCATTTTGTACATGGGACTTTCAGGAACCACTATTATTTTTCTAAGGGTAAAAAAGCTGTCTGAGTGCTGTTTGCAAATGCAGCAGTTTAAATGTGTAATTAAAAATCCAATCACTTTACCATACTCCGGTTGCTAGCAACCTGGCACTTTTTTGGAAAATAAATAAGCGTAATTTTTTTATTTTGCCTTAAATTTATAGTAAGTTGTTGCAGATGTATGTGGCAAAACCTGAAAACAGCGTCCACATCGAATTATATGACCATTGTCATCATATGACAACGTAAAAAGTTCAGTTTTTTTAGAGACTGTTTTTAGTGTTCAGGAATGAGGTGTTCAATATAAGTTAGCATAGTTATGGTTACCTGTGGCTTGATTTTCAAATATATATTTGGACTGGGCAATAAAATGATAACGATAATTCGCAACTTAACTTCCCTCGATATCAATATCATAGATGCTCTATAAAAGTGTGATATAATATGATATGGCACACACGAGGATCGGACGAGCCGGGCGTGACAACAGTGACTGGGAACGTGGACTAACCCTAACCCTAACCTTGTACGTGTTCGAGATTTCCCTCAGCATGACAGCTAACGCTGTGGCTTTAAAGCTGCCGGACTTCTGGCCTGAAAATGCCGCTGTGTGGTTTGCACAGGCTGAAGCTCAGTTCGCCGTCCGAGGCATCACGCAGGACAACACAAAATACCATTATATTGTTGCTGCACTGGACAATGCCACAGCATCGCGGGTGGTGAGCTTTCTCCAAGATCCCCCAGTGGACAGCAAGTATGAAGCTTTTAAATCGCCGCTGCTAGTGACTTTCGAATTGTCGGAGCTGGAGCGGGCACGTCGGCTTCTTGCCTTGCCTCCCGTGGGAGACCAGAAACCGTCCGAGCTTATGGACCACATGCTGTCTTTGCAGGGCAGACATCAGCCCTGTTTTATTTTTCACAAGCTATTTATGCAGCGGATGCCAGATCCCGTTCACTCAGCCCTAGCGAGCCCCTCACTTACAGATTTCCGCGGCAAGAGAAGTGGACAGAGTTTACATTGCCAGTCAGCAGTCTTGAGCCGTGCTGGACAGCGGAGGACGTGCTGATTTCACTTTTACTGACCCTGGTGTCATTGTTGTGGCTCAGCATGACTCTAAGTCTGGTCACTGTTTCTGTCATGCCCGTTTCGGTGTGCATGCTAAGTGCATCCCGCTGTTTTTAGCCGGTGTTTTCTGTGTGACACGGGCGCTTTGGTGAGCTTCCCCCCCGCCTCACAGCTGGACAAGCAGTCAGGAGTGTGTGGTTTTCCCCTAGAGGCTGTTAATGGCACTTCGATTGAGACTTTTTGTGTGTTTGTGTGTGGATGTTAAAAATAAGTGCCTGATAAACGCAGAGACTTTCTGCTCTTTTCCATGTACGCTCAGCGGGACTGGGCCTTCCATCCTGTCTGGTATTTCTGCTTCAGCTGATGTTTTCCAGCGCCTCCTGGCAGAGTTTCTCACCCTCACCACACCCACCTTTTGTGCATTCTCGGCAAAACATGGTGTGGAGCACCACATAACCACAGCAGGCCTGCCAGTGCATGCCAAAGCTAGGCGCCTTGACCCTGTGAAGCTGGCTGTCGCCAAAGAGGAGTTTGCCACGTTGGAGCGTTTGGGGATTGTTCAGTGGTCTGACAGCCCCTGGTCTTCTCCTCTCCATATGGTGCCCAAGCCTCGGGGTGGCTGGTGCCCCTGTGGGGACTATAGACGCCTTAATGATGCCACCATCCCTGATCGGTACCCTATTGCACACACCCAAGATTTCTCTGCCCGTTTGGCAGGTACTCTCATTTTCTCCAAAGTGGACCTGGTTAGGGGCTACCATCAGGTTCAGGTACATCCCCAGGATATCCATAAGACCTCTGCTGTTACGCCTTTTGGTCTGTTCGAGTTTCTTAGAATGCCTTTTGGGCTCAAGATCGCAGCTCAAACTTTTCAGCATTTGATGGACAGCGTTGTGCGGGACATGCCTTTTCTGTTTCTTTATTTGGACGACATTTTAGTTGCCAGCACCAGTTTGGATAAGCATTTGACTCATCTTTGGGCATTGTTTGCATGTCTCAGTGCTTACGGGTTAATTGTGAATGTGATTAAGTGTCAGTTTGGTGTCCATTCTGTTGACTTTCTTGGCCACCGCATTACCTCAGAGGGGGCGCTGTCTCTCCCTGAGAAAACTGCTGCTGTTCGGGATTTCCCACGGCCAGTCACGATCAAATCTTTGCAAGACTTTCTGGGCATGGTTAACTTCTACCATTGTTTCATCCCTGGGACTGCCCGCATTATGTGTCCCCTATACTCTGCACTTAAGGGTGTTTCTTCTAAGGCAGTGGCGGAGTGGACTCCAGAGCGGTGTCAGGCATTCCATAATGCTAAACAGGCCTTGGTGGATGCTACATTGCTAGCTCACCCCTTGCCGGATGCTCCCATTGCCATCATTACAGATGCTTCCGATGTTCCTGTGGGCGCAGTACATGAGCAACTGGTTAATGGGTTTGTGCCAGTTGCACTCAAATGAGCGCAAGCACAGCACTTTTGACCGTGAGCTCCTTGGTCTGTACTTAGTTGTGTGCCATTTCCACTTCCTGTTAGAAGTGCGCCCATTCACTGCCTTTGTGGATCACAAGCTATTAGTGGCCACAATGAGCAAAATTTTGGACCCTTGGTCCGCACATCAGCAGCATCATTTGGCGTTCATTTCCGACTTCACCACAGATATCCATCATGCTGCTGGCAAACACAATGTGGTGGCTGATTGCCTTTCGTGTTCAGTGGTTGGTTCTGTCCACCTCAGTGTGGATTATGCACTAATGGCAGCGGACCAGGCAGCTGACAGTGAGATTCAGGGGTTGCGTTCTGCTGACACTGGTCTGCAGCTCCAGGATGTGCCCTTCGGTGGCGCCTCACTGCTTTGTGATGTCTCAACAGTTTGTTTGGCGTGGGCTGAAAAAGGACATCCATGACTGGGCCGCTTCTTGCCTTGCTTGTCAATGCTGCCCTGGCGCATTTTGCTGTCCCGGTGCATTTTGCTGTCCCAGTACATTGATTTGATCATGTCCATGTGGATTTGGTTGGTCCGTTGCCACCA